TGACAATATTCAGGGCCCACATGACAGAAGGAGAGAACTGACTTCTGCAAGTTGTCCCCTGACTGCCACACTTGAGTTGCAGCATGTTTGCACACATGAACACAAACATATACACACACACAAATAAATTATATAAATTATATATATATATATATATTATATATGTCTTTTTGAGACAGGGTCTCCCTGTAGCCCCAGCTGGCCTAGAACTCACTATGTACAACAGGTTGGCCTTGAACTCACAGAGATCCACCTGCCTCTGCCTCCTGAGTGCTGGAACTAAAGGCATGTGCCACCACGCTAGGCATAAATAATATAATTTTTTTAAAAAGAAGCTGGGTTTAGTGGTTAAGAGCACTGACTGCTCTTGCAGAGGATCTGGGCTCAATTCCCAGCACCCACATGGCAGTTAGCAACTGTCCATAACTCCAGTTCCAAGGGATCTGATGCCCTCTTCTGGCCTCCAAGGGTGTTGCATGCATGGTGCTTATAACTGCACAAGCAGAGCACTCATACACATAAACTTTTTTTTAAACCCTAGATATAAGGAAAGAACTTCCTTAAAGTGAAAAAACTATTTAAAAATTTAAAAATATTTTTATTATTTTATGTGTATGTATGAATGTATTGCCTGCGTGTGTGTGAGTGCACTTTGTCCTGCAATGCCCGAGGAGATCAGAAGAGGGCGTCAGATTCCCCCGGAATTGGAATTATGGACAGTGGTTAGCCTCCATGTGGGTGCTGGGAATTGAACCTGGGTCCTCTGCAAGAGCAGTCAGTGCTCTTAACTGCTGAGCCAACTCTCCAGCCCCTATATAAAACATTTTAAAATTTATTTATATATTTTTATGTGTATGACTGTTTTGCCTGTGTGTAGGTGCACCTGTGTGTACAATGCCCTCAGAAGCCAGAAAAGGGTGCCAGAGGCCAGAGGGCATCAGATCCCCTGGAACTCAAGTTACAGATGGTTGTGAGCTACAATGTGGGTGCTGGGAACTAAAAGCAGGTCCTCTGAAAGAGCAGCCAGTGCTCTAAACTGCTGAGCCAGCTCTTCAGGCTGGAAAAAAAAATTAAAGACAGGGTCTCATGTATCCCAGGCCATCCCAGACCAGCTTTGAACTATGTAGCCAAAGATGACCTTGAACTTCTGATCCAGCCTTACACTGGCAACCCACTAAATATTAAGAGATTTCATACTTTCTAAACATTTTATATTGCTCTGTTTGAAGGGAGAAAGGGAACTGCATTCTCAGTGCACTAGGTTAACACCTAGCAAAAGAAAATCCAGTGTAAACAAACTAGGCATGAAGGGAACCTACTGACTCAGGGAGCTGGGAAGCAGTGGGCTCAGGCATGGCTAGACCCAGAAGCGTGCTATGCACAGAGTTGATCTCTGACCTGTTAAGGGCCAGCTTCATTTTTAGGGAGAGTCTATTTCAATAGCTTGAAAACTGTTCAGGGGTCTCACTGGTTCCTCCCCATAGCTGGGGTATGGTGAGGCTCCCAGGGCTGGAGTCACCTCCATCAAAGCATGTGCCCTAAGAGAAAGTAAAATAGGGTCATTCCCTGCTCCCACAAACCAGCAGGACTAGGGAGCCCTTCTCAAGGACTCACATGAAGCTGACGAAGCTCGGGGCTGGGTTACTGAACTGGCTTAGGGAAACCCAAACTCAGGAAAGGGGCCACAGGACCCGGGAACCACTGCCTCCTGCAGCCCGGCAGTCCTGTGCTTGGCTTTTGAGGGCCAACAGGGATGCCAGGCATAGCCAGGAGGTAGGCTCCTCAGGACATCCTTCTGCGTCCCTCAGACCTAGTTTCTTAGTCCAGCTCTGCAAAGGTGAAACCAGGTTTGGACCCAGCTCCAGTTCAATCAGCTGGGGCAGACTGGGTGGAGGATGGACTGAGGAGGGCTAAGCTTGGTTGATATAAAAGGTAAACTTTGCTACCCCTCCCTGAAGGCTGTTGCTGGGAAGGATCCATGAGTCACCTTCGGGCTGCAGGTAGAGTCCAAGCAAAGGGCTGGCTTCCAGGTCCCCTCCCTATCCTCACTCACTCATTTTTTTTTTTTTTTTTTTTGTCTTTTTGAGGCATGGTCTCCCTGTAGTCACAGCTGGCCTGGAACTCAATACATAGACCAAGCTGGCCTCGATTTCACAGAGCTCTGCCTACTTCTGCCTCCGGAAAGGCTATGTCACCACAGCTGGCTCTTGCTGATTTTCTTTACCTTTCTTGTGTAGCTATTTTCTCCCAATTGAAACATCCCTGGATGGAGGAGGGAGGCTCCCTTAGGAAGCAGCCTGGCATGCTCCAGGATCAATCCCCAGCCCTGGAAAATAAAATCAAAAAACAGGAAGCTGTTGACAGGTTCAAGACCCAAGAAGTTCAGAAAGTTACCAGATTCAATACATACAGTCCATAGTTGCTGGAGAGGGCAGGCGCTGGTGGAGCTGCTTGCAAATTGTGCAGAGTGCTCCAGGGATGCAGCTGTGGGGGGTTGTGGCTCACGTTGGGATAGCCTTTTAGGTGACATAGCTACCCTGAATCACCTACAGTGGCCTGTAATTCCAATAAATTCATTGGCTCACCAAGCTAGACTTGGGTAGAACTGTTTCTTTGGTCAGTGCTCTATCTTGGGTGAATAAAGGCTTGCTCATTTCTCCCTACGAACACACAACAGCCCTTCACTGAATGCTTACTTTTCCATGTTTTTTTTTTGTTTTTTTTTTTTTAAGATTTGTTTATTGGACTGGAGAGATGGCTCAGCAGTTAAGAACACTAGCTGCTCTTCCAGAGGTCCTGGGTTCAATTCCCAGCACCCACATGGTGGCTAACCATCTATAACTTCAGTTCCAGGGGATCCAACACCCTTTTCTGGCCTCTGCAGGCACTGCACAACATAGGTGCACTTACATCATGCAGGCAAAACACACACATAAAATAAAAATAAAAAATTTAAGCTGGGTGTGGTGGCGCATGCTGTAGTCCCAGAACTTGGGAGGCAGAGGCAGGTCGATCTCTGTGAGTTCAAGGCCAGCCTGGTCTTACGTATGAGTTCTGGGCCAGCTGGGGCTACAGGGAGACCCTGTTTCAAAAAGACAAAAAAAAAAAATTAAAGATTTATGTATTGTTATGTGTGTCAGTGCATTATCTATGTGCCCTCAGAGGCTGGAAGAGAGTGTCAGATGCCCTGGAAGTGGAATTACAGGCAGTTGTGAGCTGCTGTGTAGGTGCTGCAAACTAAACCCTGGTCCTCTGCAAGAACAAGTGCTCTTAACTGCTGGGGCATCTCTCTAGCTCCCCCTCCCCCATTTCATTTTGAAAGGACATCTACACTCTGAACTTGGGGCTCTGAGAAGTCATGTTTTTTGACCATGGTCACACAGCAAGTGGCCCCTGAGGGTGCCAGGTGATTGAATCTGCAAGTCCTAGAGCAGCTGTGGAAGGGGGTCAGAAGGCAGGGGAGGCCACGGTAATTCTCTCCTAGCTGAGGGTTCTGAAAGGGGCAGTGCTGAAGGACAGGGAGGACCCTTGGATATTTGCTCCCAGCCTCACAGCTGGGTACGAGGGTCCAGGGTCCACTGAAAGGTTCCTGGAGAAAGGTCTTCCCCGTCCTGCCCTGTCCCTGAGGTTCTGTTCTTCCAAACCCTGCCTCACTGCACTGCCGGTGACTCAGCAGCCTCCCTGCCCTTCAGAGTGGGATGGGTCTTTAAGTGCCTGGTATAAATGCCAGTTTGGTGCTGTGGCTTGAACTTAGGGCCATGTGTGTGCTAAGGCAGGGCTCTACCATTGCGCTACACCTCTCTGCCCACACACCTTGAAGGGCTTTTCCCTATATTCTAAGTCAGATCAGAGTCCAGTCTCTAATTGTCCTTGGGCGTTAAGCATGCACGCACACATTTTATCAACTCCTTTCAACCCACTGAAGCATCATTTTTTAACTGCAGTGGCCATTTTCCCATTTACTCTGCTGCCTGTGTCCAGCAGCCTTCCCCGACGGCCTCCACCAACGGGGGTCACAGTTGCCTACTGATTCAGCCACAGCTGGTTGCCAGCAAACGCTTGGTTCTTTTACCACCTGGTACTTCCTCCATTGGACCAAATGCCTGGAGTCTTGGAGAACGTCAGTCGGTCGAATGTGAAGGGCGGGTCTTCATCCACTCGCGATTTCATTAAATCTCCAAGCCTGTTTCAGGTTGTTGTTGGGGGGTGGTGGTGAGTCGCTGGAGCTGCTCAGTGGGAAAAGGGACCCTGTGAGGCCCGGCTAGGAGAAAGTGACCGTCCACTCCACACGCTCTAGCCAAGTCACGCAGGAAGGCAGACACCCAGAACGCGTGTGACCTCCCCACGCAGTGCGACCCCGCAGGGAGTCTCGCCAAAGTCAGTGTGCTTTTGCTAACTTCTCAAATGTTTGGAAAATGGCTGCTAGCAGCTTTGCACAGGGGGGTGGGAGGAACTGCCCGCAAAAGTGCAGTGCAGAGCCGTAGCACCGGGGGAGTTTAATTTGCAGTTCCCTAGCTGACGCAGGGGGGCGTGTCGCAGGCTCTGGAAACCTAGGGTCGGGAGCTCGGAACGAAGGGCAGCGCAGCGCAGCTCTAGGATGTGCCACCTCCGGACCCCGGAGTCGCCCTGGACCCGGGACTGTCCCGGAGCCCGATGGAACGCTCCGCGAGGGGCGGCCGCCTGGTCCCCCCAGGCTCTGCGGTGCCCCAGCGCCACTTGTTACATGGACCTCAGGGAAGGAGGCCTGGGGATCCTGAGCCTGCAGCAGCGGAGGTCCCCAGGCCGCCGCTCAGAGAGCCGGAAGCCCCCCTCCCCCTCAGCTCTGGGAGCCCCGGCAGTGACCCGCGTGTCCCCGCGCACGCACATTGCGTGCGTCACTTCGCGCCTCCCGCTCGCCCGGTGCCCAGGCGCACGCAGCCATTTACGCGCGGCAGCACACGGTCGCCCGGCCGCTGCGGGGAAGAGCGCGGCCCGCGGGTGGGAAAGGGACGTGGGGACCCCGCCGGGCGCTGTCCGGGGCGGAGCCTGGGGCGGAGCTCCCCGGGCCGGGCGCGCAGGGCAGGGGCGGGTCTGCGCCGCCGCGATCCACGCCGCCCCGCCTTCGGCCCGCTGCTCGCTGCGCTCTGGTCCTCCGCGCTGCAGCCCCCGCCGTAGCTGCCGCCGCTCCCGCCGCCACTGCCTCCGAGGTAGGTGCCGCGGAGAGGGCCCCAGCGCAGCCTGCGTCCCCGGGGGCCATCGAGGGAGGCGACGGGGGGAGGATTGGCGAGGGCGCAGGGCCTAGGAGCCCGGCCCCGGGGAGGGTGAGCCAGGGACGGTCATCGCGGGCCTGGCGGGTCAGCGGGCGGACAGAGGAGGCCTGGAGGGCGGGCAGAGGCCGAGCAGATGCGGGGAGAGAGGTCGCACGAGGACAGGCATCCAGAGCGCCTGCAGCTGGGAGCCAGGGCCGGTCCGGACATGCGGGCGGAAGGGCAAGGCTGGCCGCATGGAGGCCCGGCGGGCCGCGGGTCTAGGTGACCTTCCCCGGCTGCGCCCTTTGCCTCCCGATACTAACTGCACCGACCCGGTAGGGACCCTCCGGCCGGGCTGGGCGAACGTGGGCCCTGTGCAGGCCAAGCTGCCCCCGCGGAGACCATGAGCTGTGGGGACTGCCATGCCTTGGAGCCCCCCGACCCCTAGACTCCCTGGCCGGCCCACACCCGGAGTGGGTGGCGCCTGAGTTCCTCCCCGCGCATGCCAGCGCCTTCCCGGGCGGAACGGGATGTCTTCAGTGGACTTAGGCCGCTGGGGCCGGGACCCAGGCCTAGACCGGAGGTTTGACCCTCGGAAGGCCAGACCCCACCAGGAACCATGTGGCTAGGCTCCCTCGCCTTAGGCGGGTCCAGGTTCGATGGCATATTCTTTCACCAAATGAGACTCTACGTTTTGGGAAATTGGTTTCAGGGCCTGACATCACATTGCAGGCCCACAACGCTATTGGTTCGTTCAAGGTCACACTGTTAGGAAGATCTCAAACTTCAGTCTTTAACTCTGTGAAATAGAAGCAGTTATTTACTCTATGGGGTTTGGGAGACAATAAAGTGATCGGATTAGCACTGTTTGCCAGGCATGCCCAAGACCACCTTAGAAACCTTGACATGTACCTTGAAGCTTTGGGGCACGATTGAACTCATCCCCCACAGACCATCTTGTTCCATGTAGTGTCCTGGAAGGGACTTAGTGAACCTACAGTCCTGTAATTTTGAACACCATTATTGCTGTATTATTAACAAGTATTTGTGCATAGGAATTGAGTAAACACACCATCAGTTTATAGGTGGTCCAGGCCAGGCTGGAGCAGTAAGTCTGATTGCACACTTGGAATGCAGGGAGAGGCTGGGCTAGTCCAGTTCTGTGCTACTGAAAACCCCTCTCCTTGGCCATTCTCCTTTCTCTACAGGAGATGGGGGAAGGGCTCCTTTTATTTATAGCAAGACCAGGCTGGACTACCCAGGGCCTGCCTTTTTTTCTCTGGATTGTCTGAACTCCTATAGGGCCAGATTCACACCCCAGGTAACTTTGCCTTCTGGTTGTTGAATGGGGCCACCTGGCACACGGTAGGTAAGAAAGGTCTGTGGAGATAAATGAATTTAAAAAAGATTTATTTATTTATTTATTTATTTGTGTGTGTGTGTGTGTGTGTGAATTTATATGAACCATGTGAGTGCAGGTACCCTTGGAGGCCAAAAGAGGGTGTTGAATCTCCAGGAACTGGAGTTACAAGTGAGCCACCTGATGTGTGTGCTGGGAACTTAACCCAGGTCCCCTGTAAGAACAGTAAGCACTCTTTAATTGGTGAGCCATCTCTGCAGCCCCAATAAATATATTTTTTATACCACTCTTGTTGACCGAGGGTTGGTTTTTCTATTCCAGGAAGTGGTGCCTGTTAGGTGCACATTAAGTTGTGGAATTAGTGAATGGGACTGCAGGCCCAGACCACAAGCTCTCGATCCTGAATATCCTTTTGAAGACACAGACATCTCACTTGCTTCCGGAAGATAGCCTGGCTTAGCACAGTCACAGATACTTAAAGACCTCTACTGGTATGTACTGCCCTAGAGCAGTGAGAGGCCAGAAGTAACTAACTGCTTTAAACACGTGGTCTTCATTCCTTGACTTCCCAAGTCCAATGGGAACTTGTCAGACTGGTGTTTCTGGGCTTGAAACTAGAGTGACATGGGTGAATGGCATTCTGCCCAAGGCCTTGGACCTGTTACACCTTCCCTTTCTGATAGTGGGTGTGTTGGTGGCTTCTGCTTAGTTGTTTTTAGTTAGATGCCTGGCCCCAATGTGGTGGGTGCTCATGAGTGATGACTTAGCTCTCTGCTGCCTAGAATAGAGTTTTAGGCAGGGCTGTTTGGGACCTTACAGCATTCATGCTGGACCTCAGGCAAATGTGGACTCTGGACTCCAGCAGGTGGTGTAAGGGCACTCTACCCCCTTTACCGTTAAGGTGCTCTGAGTCCCTTTGCCCTTGATGAAATTTCCCGCAGAACGATGCCTTAGTAGTAGTGCCTGGGAGGCACATATGTGGCTGAGAGCTGTCAGAATCAGCTGTACAGAGAGCTGTACGGAGCTGAGGGTTATCTTGAATCTGTGACACCCCACTCCCCATCTTTTCAGTGCTGGGATTACTGGTGTGCACCACCACACCTAGTTCTGTAAAAGTATGATTACCATTGCCACAATCATCCTTGGCCATCCTGGGGCTTGGTTTGTGTGTTCTGTGACATTGCAATGTGTGCTCTGTGCTTGGGCACAGAGGTGAGGTGTCACAAAGGTTCCTGAACAGTGCTGGGACTACGGTGGTCCTGGTAGTTCTGTGCTGGTGCTTTTACAGTGCAGCACTGCCACACTTTTAAGGAGCCAGTAGATGGGAGTGCCTTTGTGAAGTAGAGAATCCGGAGGGCTGGGTGTGGCTGGGGTTGGACAGCTGATAAGGGCCGTGCTCAGTGGAGTCATCCCTGTTTGCAGCAAAGACTTCCATGCTGAATGTTAGAAGGGACAGTTTTCCCTGGGACGAGGTGGAAGGTATTTTTCCAGGGCCTGGCCGGATAATATCCAGCTAAACAACCCCTCTTTATGGACAGTTAAGCTCTGGACTCTGCAGTTCAGGGTGACTTTTCAGCAACATGCTCAGCAGCATTATAATAGTAAATATGCAAAGTGAGGGCTTGGTTAGATTCCTAGCACCACAGAATACGGAAACAGACTGTCTCTTGGGCCCAAGAATGTAGCTCTCTTGGTAGAGTGCTTGCCTCGAATGCATGAAGTAGGGGGTTCTAGTCCCCCCACACAGCGTAAACCCAGTGGTGGGGCATACTTGGAGGTGAAGCGGGAGGCTGAAGTTCAATGTCATCCTTGGCTACATAGCGAGTTCAGTCTAGCCTGGGTTACATGAGACTGTATTTCAGAATAAAAACATGTTATCTCTCTGTCTCACTATCAGTCAATCAGTTGATCAGTTATCATCTTAATACAATTCTAGTTGTGTTTGCCTCACACTTTCTATATACCAGTCACAGTACTAAGTACTTTATATTGAGGGAAACTGAGGTGCAGAGAGATTGACCTGCTCAAGGTCTTTTACCTAGAAAGCAAAGTAGGATTGGGGTCCAGGGTCTTCTTGACTGTCATGACTACTCACCCGGGCACTGTCTGTGTTGACTCCCATGTGCCTTGTCGGGGGAACTTGAGTTGCCTGTGGCTATGATATGCCAGGTTGGACCCTAGACCTTGGAATGCTGGCTGCTAGCACAGCCTTCTCGCCTCTGCGGGTGGGTGGGTAGGTAGGCAGGCTACCCTGAGTCAGCTACATTCTCCCAAGTCTTGTGGAAGGCTGTTCTGTGCTGGTCGTGGCCCAGCTTCCAATGTTTTAAAATAGAAGCAGCGCCTGGAAAGCCAGGCTGCCCCCTGTGAGACTGTTGTGGAGGGGATGGGGGAAGGGTGGCTGCATTGGGAATGCAACCTGCTTCCAGAGCAGAGAGCCATCAATCAGCCTTGTCAGCAGCTGGAACCAGTGTCTGTTCCCCAGGCTACCTTTGCCTGGGGAAACAGTCTCTCTTTCTCTATCTTGCCTCTTGCCTCTTGCCTCTTTCTTTCCTCTCTCCTCTCTCCTCTCTCCAGGCTTGCAAAGCTGAACTCGCCTTCCACCAGGAGATTGCTTTACCTGGTCTCCAAGGTTGGGGCAGGTACTTTTGCTCAAGTCTAACCAGGATGGTCTGAAGCCCCTTTCTCTAAACTGCCCCTCCTTTGCCCTGGCTAACCCCCAAGAACGGTGTTGGAGAAACAGCAGAGCCAAAGGCTGTACCTTTATTCTCTTTCTTCCTGAAGGGAATCCTGAGATGCTGGTGGTAGATTATGGTTGCTGTTTGGTTTGGCTTCTGACAGGCATCTGGTGTACACTTTTATCTGGTTAGCCAAGCAAATTAATGAGGAAGTCATTTGCAAAGATGGGGCATCGTATAGGGCACTTAAGAAGAGGTGTGGTTGTGGGTCTTCTCACACTCAGGGGATCTTCTGCCAGACTCATGACCCTTCCATAGTTACTGTCGTGTATCTGATAGGCTGGGTGGTTCCTGGTCTTTGGAAGGGGCCCTGTTCCCTGTTTTCCTGTGGAGGTGGCATCTTAACCCACTGGGGTGTTGTGTTTAGGAGACTTCCCCCTCTTCCTGACTAGGCTTTGAGACTCACAGCTACCCTGCTGCATGTCCACCACATCAAGGTTGGGGTTCTAGCGGGTGTTTGTGCTGAGTGAGCCTGCTCTTCTCAGTACCTTGCCTGTTAGGCAGAAGCTATGTGCGTGTGTACGTGGTGTGTGTGTGTGCGTGTGTGCGCATGTGTGCATGTGTGCACACTGACCTGAGCTGGCTGCACTGAGGCTGTTTGACAGGTGCCTTGGGTGATTCGTACAGGCTAAGGTTAGGGAGCTCCGCCCTGTCTTCTGGGCAGAGTGACCAAACTGCTGGAGGTCACCTGGGAATGGAATGTGCTCCTATAGGCCTTGCCCAGTGATAGCACTACCATCTCAGTGTAGTTTGAAGCTGTTCTTAGAACCAGTGTGAACACTGTCTAGACAGCGTTTCCTCTGGTACCTTGACTGTAGCAACTTGTTGGGCCATCATTGGTTTGTAACGTTTTCTGTAACGTGCACCATTTAAATAATGAAGTAGAGTAAAAAATGAAAATCCTGGGTGCTGGAGAGATGTTCTCAGTGGTTAAGAGCACTGACTGCTCTTGAAGAGGACCTGGGTTTCGTTCTCAGCACCTACATGGTGGCTCACAACCGTCTATAACTCTAGTTCCAGACTAGGGGATCCAATACCTCCTTACGATGGCCTCCTCTGGCACCAGACATGTATGTGGTTACACATACATGCATGTAGGCATTCATACGTACACATAAAAAAAAAAAAAACTAAGGAAGTCCCATTTGAACTTCACGCCTTCCCTAAACCACCTTCCTCTCAAAGGCACCCTTAGTGTACAGAGGGCTTGGGTCTTCCATTTCTTCCCCACTCCCTCACAAGTTCTTGAATATATAAAGATGTGTATGTAAAAAGGTCTTCTAGGCACTGGAGGGATAGCTCAGCAGTTAAGAGCACCGGCTACTCTTAAAAGGACCTGGGTTTGGTTCCCAGCACCTGCATGGTGGCTAATAACCATTCTTTATAAAGATATTTTATTTATTTTTTACTTTATGTGTATGAGTGTATTGCCTGCATGTGTATAAGTACACCTGTGTTGTGCAGTGTTCGTGGAGGTCAGAAGGTGGCATCAGACCCCTTGGAACTGGAGTTAATGGATGGTTGTTAGCTACCCTATGGGTGCTAGGAATTGAACCTGGGTCTTCTGCAAGAGCAGTCAGTGCTCTTAACTGCTGAGCCATCTCTCCAACCCCTAATACTCATTCTCAACTCCAGTTCCAGGGGAACCCAACACCCTCTCTGACCTTCATGGACACCAGGCACACACATGTGGCACACTTACATATAGGCAGGCAAAGCACACATACATGTAAAGCAAAAATAAAATCTTAAAAAAAAAGCCTTCTACTAATTACGTGGAATTAGAAATGTTCTGTGGCTTGACTGTTTCCATGTAGCTGTATTAATAGATAACTTTATGCTACCACATATAAACCCACCATTACTGATATTATTACTATTATTATTGTTTTTTGGAGACAGAGTCTCATGTAGCCCAGGCTGGCCTCAAACTCTGTGTAGCCAAGGAAGATCTTGAACCTCTAAACCTCATGCTTCTTCCTCCCAAGTGCTAGAATTACAGTCTTCTACAACTATATCTACCTTACCTCGTTATTTTTCATGACCACGTGGTTTTCCTTAGTCTACAAGTACCTTAATTTTGGTTCATTTGTTTTCCTTTTGATGGGCTTGTAGGTTTAGGTTTCTGGGTTTGGTTCCTTTCAGTGGGTGGGATTCCCAGCATGGAACTCCCACTAGGCTTAATGCTGAGTTAATGGTCCAGCAATTGCCTGTGGTACTCATTCTTGGTGAACAGTGGTGACTTCCCCCACCCCTTCACAGATGGGGTATCAACATTGACTGCTTTTCCTTTTTGAGACAGGGTCTCCCTGAAGCCCCCATCTGGCCTGGATCTCATTATGTGTGTAGACTTGTTATGTATGTATGTATGGCCTCAGTCTCATAGAGATCTTTCTGCCTCTGTCTCCCAAGTTCTAGGACTAAAGGTGTGCACTACCATGCCTGACTACATTGACATTTTTGTCAGTCTTTGGGTTAAGTTGTCTAACAGAGGTCCTTAGAATGGTGTCCATGCCTGGTTTTGAGGACAGAAGCAGCCAGTGACCACCCTGAGGAACTGGGTCTCTTCAGCCCTTTGGCTCTTCCTGGTGGGGGTGCCGGTGGGGTGGGATGTGGTGCTCTTAAGTATCTCTGGATCCACTCCACTGCCTTGCATTGGAAACTCCTGGTTCCTGGTTACATTGTGGTTTACTTTTTTCTCTTGTTAGACTCAAGTTTCTCCTTTGTTCTCTTTATTCAAATGATAACTATTTTAC